ATTAAGGAGGAGGATATTCCTAAGACTGCTTTCCGTACCCGTTATGGTCATTTCGAATATACGGTGATGCCGTTCGGATTGACTAACGCCCCCGCAGCATTCATGGATTTGATGCACAGAATCTTCCGGCCTTACCTCGATCAATTTGTCATTGTGTTCATTGATGACATATTGATCTACTCACAGACTCAGGAGGAACATGCTCGTCATCTCTCTATTGTGCTACAAACATTGAGAGAACATAAGCTATACGCGAAGATGAGCAAGTGTGAGTTTTGGATGAAGGAAGTGAAATTCCTTGGCCATGATGTGTCCGAGCGCGGAGTAGCGGTTGATCCCGCCAAGATTGAGGCTGTGATGAAATGGGAACCACCGAAGAATGTAATGGAAGTACGGAGTTTCTTGGGGTTAGCCGGTTATTATCGAAGGTTTGTGGAAGGGTTCTCCAAGCTAGCGATGCCGATGACTCGCCTTACAAAGAAGGGGGAGAAATTCTTGTGGACTCCAGCGTGTGAACTAGCTTTTCGCACCTTGAAAGAGAAATTGACGACAGCACCTATCCTCATTATTCCGAGCAGTGGGGAGGACTACGAGGTATACACTGATGCTTCACTACGAGGCTTGGGATGTGTTCTAATGCAAGGAGGGAAGGTAGTTGCCTATGGCTCGAGGCAACTCAAGATTCATGAGCAGAACTATCCCACTCACGACTTGGAGCTTGCCGCGGTGGTCTTTGCTCTTAAGTTGTAGAGGTGTTACTTGTATGGCGAGAAATTTCAAGTGTTCTCGGACCATAAAAGCCTCAAGTACATATTCACCCAAAAAGACTTGAACATACGGCAAAGAAGGTGGATTGAGTATTTAGAAGATTATGATTTCACACTTAACTACCATCCGGGGAAGGCCAATGTAGTTGCAGACGCTCTTAGCAGGAAGTCTCGGGGTGAAATCAATTCTCTCGTGATAAATAGGTGGAAAATGATTGATACTTTGGAGGAGTACGATCTATGGGTGGATGGACCGGAGTACCAACCATATTTATTCAACCTTGTAGCTCAACCGACGCTTCGACGACGGGTGGTAGAGTTGCAATGCCTAGATTCGGAACTCGATTTGATTAGAGTCCGATTGGGGAATGGAGAAGCTATTAAAGGATGGTCTTGGAAGAATGGAGAGTTGAGATATGGGGAGAAGCTATGTGTTCCCGATGATTCGTCCTTAAAGGAGGAGATACTTGGAGAGTGCCATCGCTCCAAGTTTGCTATCCACCCCGGTAGCACAAAGATGTATAGGGACATGAAGCGTCAATACTGGTGGAGGGGAATGAAGCGAGATGTGGCCAAATATGTGGCAAAATGTGCGGTGTGTCAGCAGGTGAAGATTGAGCATCAAAGGCCAGGAGGAGTCCTACAGTCCTTGCCTATTCCCAAGTGGAAATGGGATCACATTACTATGGACTTCGTGTCGGGTTTACCACGGACGTCGCGCGGGCATAATGCAGTGTGGGTCATTGTGGATAGACTCACCAAGTCTGCTCACTTTTTGAGTATGAAGACCACGGATACATTCGAGACCTTGAGCCAGTTATATATCCGTGAGATAGTGCGGTTACATGGAGTTCCGCTTTCTATTGTGTCGGATCGTGACTCTCGGTTTGTGGCGCGATTTTGGCAAAGTCTACAACAAGCCATGGGGACAGAGTTACATTTCAGTACCGCGTTCCATCCCCAAACAGATGGCCAATCTGAGAGGGTGATACAGATTGTGGAAGATATGCTACGTGCATGTGCGTTGGACTTCAAGGGGAGTTGGAGTGACCATTTGCCGTTGGTGGAGTTCGCGTATAACAACAGCTATCAGGCAAGCATTGGGATGGCACCGTATGAAGCATTGTATGGAAGACCGTGTAGATCCCCGACGTGTTGGTTAGAAGCGGGCAAGAGTAGCTTGTTTGGGCCAGAGATTGTTCGGGAGACTACAGAGAAAATTCAGCTCATCCGGGAAAGACTACGCACGGCACAGAGTAGACAGAAAAGCTATGCGGATCGAAGACGAAGACCATTAGAATTCCAAGAGGGGGACTATGTATTCCTTAAGGTGTCCCCCAAGAAGGGAGTATTTCGATTTGGCAAGAAAGGAAAATTAGCACCAAGATATACCGGACCCTTTGAAGTGATCAAAGTTGTGGGCAAAGCGGCATATCAGTTGCGGTTACCAATTCAGTTGTCTGGAGTACACGACGTATTTCACGTGTCCATGTTGAGAAAGTGTCAATCGGATGCAACGCCGTCGTAGACTTGGAAGACATTGAGATTCAAGACGGAGCAACCTATGAAGAACAACCGGTGAAGATTCTTGACGCCAAGGCGAAAGTGCTTCGCAACAAAGTAATCAAATTGGTGAAAGTCTTGTGGCAACATCATGGAGTGGAAGAAGCTACTTGGGAACCGGAGCTGGAAATGCGGGAGAAGTATCCATTTCTGTTCGTTACTGGAGGTAAGTTTCGAGGACGAAACTTTCTTTAAGGGGGGTGGATTGTAATACCCCACATGCGTTTAAAAAAAAAAAAAAAAATAAAAAAAAATAAAAAAAAATAAAAGACATAGGTGTTCAGTAATTATTTCATTTGAAATGATAAAATAGTATAACTCAAGGAAAGAGTAGTTAAAAGATTAGTTTCGGTATGAAAATGTACAAAATAAATCATAAAAGAACTTGAACTAATTAGGTCGATGTAGAAAAGTATGTAGGATAAGTTAGGATTAAAGTTGGAAGGATTGGAAGTGAAAAGGGGCGCCCAAATGGGGCGCTGCTCCGGGTACATTGCCTACTCCGGACCAGTTGTCGTAGAATCGTCATAACTCTTGCTACAATGGTCCGATTGAGCTGAAATTTTGACACAATGCAGAAGACATCTAGATCTACAACTTTCATGTTTTGCACTTTTTCAGATTCAAAGTTTATCATGATCAAAAATAAGGAAAACAGTAAGTCTGGAAAACCCCCAAAACAGACGATGAACAGTAAAAGTCGGGATTTTTGGGTTTTAAAACACCCATTCCAAGCCCTATTTCTCCCATTCTTCATTTCCCTTCCACTCTAAATACCTTAGAGCCCTAAGAGAAGAGAAAAGGGAGAGAAAAACACCAAGGTCAAGAGAGATTCCCACCTCATAAAGATCAAAACCGAATTTCTCAAGTTTTCTCTTCTCCACCCATTTCTTTTACTTCTATTCCTCAACCACTCACACCCAAATCTCTAGAAACCCTAGGAGGACGAAATTAAGAGGAAAAGGAAGGAGAATAGGAAGATTTTGAATCTTGGGTCTTAGATTGAAGCTACAACCAAGAGGTAGGGGATTTCTTCCTAATTTCTTACATTGAGGCTAGGGTTTATGTATATACATATGTTTTCCACTCCCATCCATATTTATTTGATATGATTTGTATGATTCTTAATTCTCCTTGTAATAAATGCTATGTTTGAATAATGGGATGGTTTGGTAACCATTAAATTTCTCTTTTTCATCTTCCAAACTTGGTTTTAAGAAAAATTGAGTTTTCTCCATATATTGCCTTGGTTCTCACTTTATAAATTTAGTGTTCGATATTGTTCAATGAAAATGATCTTTATATTGATCTTTTGCTCATTTTAATTCCATCTTGCTATGACGCTTTACTTGTGAAATTTGGGTATTTTGCGATTAATTGGTAAAATGTGAATTGATTGAGAATATGTTGGTTTACTCATTGTATGGTGGTTGGGAGGGACTTGGATTACCTACGAGATATGCCGTAGAGTGTAAATGTCAGTTGAACCCAGTGGGGGGGGAGATGGTTTCTTGCACTTGTAGTGAGTTGTCATTTGGTAATGCGACCACTATCGTACGCCTGGAGTTCGAACTAGGGTTGGTATACCATTCCTGGGGAGGGACTCGTCACTGCCATTGGGATGGTAGACGCCCCTTCCCTAAGTACTTGTGATTGTGATTATAAATGGGTGGACTAGGTATAATCGTTGGGTAGATTCATGAGAAACAATCAACATACATGGTACGGGGATGAACCAACATAAATGTGATGATTGGCTGGAATGGCTTGGCCGGTGCATTGGTATGGGACGATGCATCGGAGGGAGCCCCTCCTAATTGACTTAATGTTGGAAATGGTTTGCTATGGTTAAACTTAATTTATTTCTCTCCTTAACTACTGTATGGCTTAAACTTGAGATCTATTTAAAATGTCCCGTTTTACTTCAAATTCATATATGTTATTTACGAAATGTGACCGACCCGTTTTGTATTTTATAAACCTTGTTGGAGTTGGGAAGATTTTGCTACAGAGCCTAGTGCTCATCCCCTACTGTTAACATTTTTCAGACTATATCCTTGAGGAGGAGCCAGGAGTCGAGGAGCCCGTTCTTTGGGAGACTCCGATCGACGGGAGCGTAGATCCCGAGGTGGACGCCTAGAGCGGCCCTTCTATTTTGTTCTAGACTAGGCTATGTTTTTTTGAAAGATTGTAAAGTCTAGTTATCTTTTGAAATTCCGCTGCTTATCATAGTTTAATTCTTTGGGAATGTACATGCCATTGTGGGCATATTTTTTTGGGTTAACATGTAAATTTGATGGATTGATTATATAGTAGTTAATTGGACCCGGTGTGGTCATTATAGTAGAATTGCACAGGTTGGATTTTGTGGTAGAGCTCCCCGTACAAAGGAGACTATGCCCGAATTTTGTTAAAATATCAATGGTTGATGGATAAAAATTTCTTATTTATGGATTTATTTAGTGCTCTCATGATTGTGAAAGGTTTTAGAATGTAATGCCGTCCGAGGGGGTATTTGGGGCGTTACAGAGATGGTTGAAGGAGATGTTTTCTGAAGCTTTATCCTGAAATCGATGATATATTTTCTTTAGAAAGTTGAGGAGGGATGGATATTGTATGTGGATACAACTGGAAAATAGCAGGTTTGGAGAGTTTGCCAGGATTACACAGATGATGATTAATGGTAGAAGAAAGGGTTTGATTATTCCCCAAGGCTCCCAAGGCATTGGATGGAAAGGGTCTAAAGGATTGATGGAGGATGTTTTTTCGAGTGGAAGGAATACAAGGATACAAGAAAAAGAAAATCAAATTCTGATGGTAGTATCAAAATCTAGAGTTAGGGAGCAAGGAAATGGGGGATGGGCTGAGATGCATAAGGAAAATACTCCTACAAATAATAAGGGGGATGAAAATATGCTTAAAGAAGAGGTTAAACTGAGGTGTGTTGTGGTATGTGTCCAAGCAAGTTCGATTGTCTCTTGGGATGTACTCCAGGCATGCTTGGTACAGGCTTTAAAAATGAAGATTGATCTACAGCCTTTCCAAGTAGACAAAGCCATTTTTTTTTCTACGAAAACAGATTACAAGCTGTGAGAATTTGTGTAGAGTGGAAAATTTCGCGTTGAAGTGTGTGGTGACGTACAGTTTCAACATTAGTGTCATGAATCCAATATAGTTAGAAGTCGTGTACCCTTTTGGGTGGATGGATAGCAGTTGAAGGTCTACCATTTCATCTATGGTAGCCTGAAGTCTAAGAAGATCAGGGATTGTTGTGGGGCTTTCATTGAAGTTGATCGGCAAACAGAAAATCTCAAAAATTTGTTTGAAGCTATAATTAGAGTTCATAAAACCAGTAATGGTCTTCTCAAAACATTCTTCAGTGTGGATATTAATGGAAAATCTTTTCTAAGGTTAAGGTGTTGAAGAACACAGGATTGTTCAATCAAAACGAAAAAGGAATACTACAAGGTGAAGGTAGTAAGGAGATTTTGTGTATTGGGCAAAAGGTTGAAGACGAGAGTTGTAGCATATTGGAAAATCAATCGGCCAAAAAAGAGTTGCAAACAAAAGGGGGATTACGTGTCAAGAAGAGAAAGGAGAAGGAGGAGGAGGAGGGAATCTATGCACCACAAGGCCAGAATAAATGCAAAGATTTGGTTTGATTGAAAAAAATTTTGATGACTTGATTAGTGCCATTAATCTTGCTGATTTCCAACATAAAATATTTGATAAGGATAATTCAAATAAGGAATGTAATTTGAATTCAAAATTTGAGTTAATTAAGGATAAGGTAGAGGAGATGGATCACGAAGGTGGGTTTTGTTAAGAAAGGAAGGTGTGGGCTGAGATAAAAGAAACAAATGGGCTAGAAACAAATGTTTTTACCAATGGGCTTGGTAAAGTGGGCCGTTTAAATTTAAGAGGGTTTTACAGAATTGTGGAGGCCTGGTCCACAAACCTTTGTTTGTTGGGTAGAGCTCGAATGATAGGGCTCTTTCACACGGGCAAAGGGCTATCTCCATAGATGAAACAAAGGCTCTCCTCAAAGTTGAAAACTGATGGTTAAGGTTGCTGAAGCTGATCGTCGAGCAAGGGGGGGAGTGGAGCCTCTGATGACAATGGGCAAAGGAAGTAGTGAAAAAGGAACTATAGCTATAGAGGAGATTTGCGATGGTTGGCAGAGTCAAAGGGAAGATTTTGAGGTCTGTTTCAACAGTGTGGATGGGGAGAGGGACATAAATTTGTTTTCATAAGATGAGGAAGATTGCTGTGAGAACTTCCAAAGATATAAAGTAGCTGACAAAGAGGTAAAAAAGATAGTTAAAAACGCTATGTTAAAAGCCTACGATGAGTTTTGCAAAAAACTAGACAGTAAAGAGGGAGAAAAAGACATTTATAAATTAGCTAAAATTAGAGAAAGAAAACAAGAGACTTTAACCAAGCTAAGTGCATCAAAGGCGAGGACTCAAAGGCTTTAGTTAAAGATGAAGAAATAAATGATCGGTGGAAAGACTATTTTGAGAAACTATTAATGAAAATCACTTAAGAAACTTAGAAGAGATAGAAAATTGAAGGATTCATGAAATGTTCTTTCATAAGATAAAGAATTCAGAGATAGAGTTTGCATTGAAAAAAATATAATTAAGCAAGACTTTAGGACTAGATGAGATTCTAATTGAAGTTTGGAAGTGCTTAGGGAATGAGGGGGTCTCGTGGCTAACGAAATTATTCAATAGAATTATTGGCACTAAGAAAATACCCAATGAATGAAGAAAAAGTATTTTAGTACCTATCTATAAAAACAAAAGAGATATTTAAAATTGTAATAATTATAGAGAGATAAAATTGATGAGTTATACAATAAAACTATGGGAAAGGGCCATTGAATGTCGCCTAAGAGTTGAGACTACAGTTTCTAAAAATCAATTTGAGTTTATGCCGAGTAGGTCAACTATGGAAACTATATATTTATTGAGAATACTCATAAAAAAATATAGAGAAGAAGAAAAATCTCCATATATTATTTATAGATCTAGAAAAAAACGTATGATAAAGTGCTTAGAAATATAATATGTAAGGTGCTTCAGAGAAAAGGAGTGACGAATAGGTAAATTGAGATGATAAAGGATACGTATGCCGAGGCTAGGACTACAATTAGGTCTTTTGTGAGAGAAAATAAAGAATTGTCAATCATGGTTGGATTACACTCGGGATAGGCCCCAAGTCCATTACCTATTTGTCCAAATTATGGATAAACTCACTAGGCATATTTAACATGATGTCCCATGGTGTATGTTATTTACAAATGAACATACTAGGGAGATTAACTCACTAGGGAGATTAACAATAAGCTAAAAATTTGGAGAGAGCACTCGAGTTGAAAGGATTTAAAATAAGTATCAGTAAGACTGAATATATGCAATGCAATTTTAATAATAGAAGAAGTAGACATAGTGAAAAAATTAAGATTGAAAATCAAGAAATACCAATGAGTAAACGATTTAGATATTCTAGGATCAATCATTAAAAATAGTAGAGAGATTGGAGATGCTGTAACTCAAAGAATTAATGACAGTTGGCTTAAGTGGAGGAAAACCTCTGGCATATTAGGTCATAAAAGGATACCAATAAAATTGAAGTGTAAGTTTTACCGAACAACTATAAGGACAACAATATTGTATAGGACAGAATGTTGGGCAACTAGGAAACAACATACTGACAAAATGAATAGCGGAAATGAGAATGTTAAGGTGGATGTGTGAAAAAACTAAAAAAGATAGAATACAAAATGGTCCTATTAGAGAAATCATAGGAGTAACGCAAGCCCCAGTTCGAAAAAGCGATAGAATTTCTCTTAATGATACTAGAAGTAGGGGTAGACCTAAATTAACATTGAACGAAATAATAAATAAATATATGAAAATAATTAACTTAAATGAGTGTATAACGTATGATCAAAATGAATAGCGAAGACGGACTCATATAACCGATCTCAAATGATTAGGACATAAGACTTGATTTGGTTTGATTACAAAGATTGTTGTGATGCTATGGTTGCTGCGAAAGTGGTATGACAGTGCCGAGTTGGAGAAGAGTTCGAAGGATTCATTATATCACTACGATATTGATAACGGGAGAAAGGTACAAACTGATGAGGTATATGGTGATATTGCAAGAAAGTTTATTGATGATAGCTTGATTTATGTTCAAGAAGAAGGTAATATGATACTATCCTCGTACTTTTGAAGGTAATATTTCCCAAAAAATCCCAATGATGGTTTCTCCAGCGGATGTTCTTTATTTGGGGAATGGGTGTGTCAATGTCAGTGCTCATTCTGGTGATTTTCTTCTTTCAAGGGTGGGAGTGTCAATATCCATACTAGTTCTGGGTCTAATGGTGTTGCTGGGATGACATGGAATTGAGTGAGAAAATGGCGATGTTTTCTTCTGCGAAGGATGGGTGTGGGGATGGGTATAGAAAAGAATTGGTTTTCCACAAACTGTGATGTAGCTAATTCAGGTCCACGGGGAGAATAGACATTTGCGGTGTCTGGGTGAACCTGGTTCAGGTTTATTAGGTGTTCCACTTATTACTGCCTATGATCCAATATTCAAAATTGATGATAGATGTCCCATAATTAATGTTGGTCTAATGAACTCTGATGCTGTGACCACTGAGACAATAGTGAGCTTTAAGGGTGAAAGGAATAGATGAAGGAGGTAGGGATAATATAATGAATGCTTCCTGTTGGATGAGAAAAAATGGGTTGTGTTAAAGAATTTTTTTATATAAAATGGATTTGTTTCTAGTTCCATCAAAAAAAAAAAAGGGGAAACAAAAACATGAATGTAGAAATGAGAGGAAGAGAAAGGGAGTAGGAGAGTTAAAAAATTTAGAGTCGGGGATAAATTATTAGGGAGGTAGTTGTAAGAAAGGTGGGGAGGGATCTATAGTTTGTTATGAAGATTGTTAAGTTGGAATGCTCGAGAATTAGGGTCGAGGATGAAAAGGTTATCAATAAAGGTGTTTTTGGGAAGAATTGAGACAGATATAGTTATTTTACAAGAAACTAAGTTGGAGGTCATTGATAAGAGAGTCATTAGTAGTGTTTGTGGTCTAGGTTCTGGAATTGGGTTTTTCTATTTTCTGTAGGAGTACACGTGGTATTGTCATCATTTGGGACGAGAGATCTACGAGCATGGAAGAAACTCTAGGGAGAATTTACTATTTCAATTAGAGTTAAGCACAGGGAGGGATATGTCTGGTGGTTTATTGGGATTTATGGCCCTAAAAAGCCTAGGATTAGGGTCTCAATTGTGGGAAAAATTATTAGGGCTATATGGGGTGTGTGGTTATAGATGGTGTATAGGGGAGATTTTAAGGTTATAAGGTATCCAAAGGAGAGGATGAATGGGGGAGAACAACAAAAAGTGTTGAAAGATTTTGATTCTTTTAATAGGGAAACCGAGCTTAGGGATGCTACTTCATGCTCCAGCTTTCCATTTCAGGAAAGGACGATGTACTATGATACTTTTTGTTTTGTCGAGCCTTGATTTAGTCTCTGGTTTGACGATTGTATGTGCTAAAAATATGGTACACTCCGTTTTGTTTCCTATCCCAGTCTTTTGCAACACTTCAGATATACTTCTTTTATTAGGTCCCCCCTTGGCAAATGGAGTGTTTACATGGTCTAATGGTAGAACAGTCATGGTGTGTAAACAACCAATCCATATCTTACAATCAAGAGCAAACCGTCCAGTAAAGCCCTGAATTCTGCTACTATATTAGTACAGAACCCATAATAAATGGGGACTGCGAGCACCCCCCTTTTTTCCCCCTCCCCCCCCCCCAATTCATTTCTCATAATAGCACCCCTACCAGCAACGCCAGGATTACTCTTGGCAACATAACCATTTACTAACTACTGGAATACCCAACTTCTAAATCCTAGAATCTAGAGGAAGAGCATCCAACAAAGTTTTCCAACCAATCAGCATAGCACTAGGGGCTGTGTTCAATCCCCAAATGGCAACAACAACCTCATTCCTTACCCCTTGCTTTCTAATCACTTGCCAAGCTGATTTAACAGAAACAACCCCAGCATTAGTCTGTCGCCACACTAGTTTATCAGATATACCAGACAAAGAAATATCAGAATTCAAAATTTCTCCTCTAAGCTATTCAGGCAAAAATTCCTTCACCTCACCCAAACACCACTGAGAGTCCAGACACTTCAGAAAACTTAGGAAAAAAATAAGGAGATCCCTCAATTCTTTTCAACAAAGACACATCATTCAACCAACAATCACACCAGAAATCTACAAAAACTCCATTCCCAATAATGACTTTTGATTGAAGCATAACTCTTTAAAAAAAAGGCCTTAAAGATTTATAACACTTTGCACGCCCCTTACCTAAGCTTCTCAAAATATGCCTCCCTTTTCAGAATTTTGTAGAAAAGATTTTAGCCCACAAAGAAGAACCCTCCATGATATTCCAGACTGATTTAGGGTTTTAGGGTTTAGGGTTTAGGATTTTAGGGTTTTAAGGTTTATGGTTTAGGGTTTAGAGTTTAGAGGGAGGAAGCACTTACTTTGTTTTAGAGAGAGAAGGTCTGACTTCTCTCTAGAAACTGTTTTTTTCTTTTTCCAGATCTACTTTGTTTCTAACTGAATTTTCACGTTTTGATTGTAAAATCTTTAGATTGTTACTGATTTTTGCTTGATTTACCATGAATTCTGGTCCAAAACCTCATCAAATTCCCCAAAACCACCGGACATCACAAAAAATTATGACTCCTTGTTTAAGAAATCGTCAGTTGTGGACATTTCTCAAACACGTCCTATTGCTTCAGAGATTAACTCCTTCACATTTGTGGATCCTTTTGGATGTTGTAATTCCATGACTATGCCTCTTATTTCAAACGAAAATGGAAGAAAGTCGAATGTTCACTTTGCCTCTGTTCTTCCTTCAACTGTGTCAGTTTCTGCGAAAAAACAAATGCCTTCTTCGGGGTTAGGAACTCAGGTCCCTATTGATTCCTCCATTGATCGAAACACTCAGGGAATGAATTTATTGCCTCAATCTACTTTGATTTCTCAACCAATTTCGACTTCGAAAGGTAGTTCGATGGATCGAGTTTTACCAATTTCTCAGATCTCTGATCCTGAGAAGAGAATTCAGACTCCAATTGTTATTCCAAATGTTCAGAATTCTTCTGTTATTCAAGTTCCTTCTTCTACAATTTTATTTGGCTCTTTAAATTCCGCGACTCCTCCAAAACCTGCTAAGAGAGTAGTGTTTAACAAAGGGGAGCCTGGGATGTATTGGTCCCCTGTTGAAACTATGGAACTGTCTAAAGGATTTAATCAGACACTTATTGGTAAATGTGCCTATGGTAAACCTTCAATGGGTGTGGTGAAAGAATTTATCAAATCTAGATGGCTTTTAAAAGGGGAGTTTTCTGTAGGAGTGTTAGATCCAAGACATGTACTGATCAAATTTTCTCTTTACGAGGACTATGTTAAAGTGTGGTTGAAGGATACTACTTACATTGAGGGCTTCCTCTTTAAGTTTTTCAAATGGTTCCCAGAGTTTTATCCTGGGATTGCGGCACCTGTTGTACCTGTATGGGTGTCCCTGCCTGGCCTTCCAATCCATCTCTTTAATAGAGAAAGTCTGCGAGATATTTTAAGTCTAGTGGGCAGGATTTTGGTGATAGACAATGCTACTCTAGGTCTTTCTAGGCCTGGTGTGGCCAGGGCTTGTGTGGAAATGAATCTTCTGGCCAGTAATCCTAAGAGATTCTGGTTAGACATGGGGGGAGTCAATGGTCATTGGCAGAGGATTGTATATGAAAAGGAATATAAGTATTGTCCTGCTTGTCTTAAGCAAGGACATGATGAAATGTTGTGTAGAAGGAAGAAGAGAGTGGAAGGTGATGCCTCTGAGAATAAGCAAACAACTGGGAATGTTTTAAGTCATGATGAGGAATGGAGGAAGAAGAAAGGAAAAGCTGTGGATATAGATGGCATGAATGTGCATCCCAGGAAGGAATATAGACAAAAAATCATGACCCAAACTACTGCTGTGGGAAATAGTTTTGTTGTGTGAATGAGGAGGTTGTAGTGGAGGAACTGGATAATGATAGGAATTTATCTGTACAAGTCCAGAAAATATTACCTGAAAAGGTTATTGAAAATGGTGAATCTTCTTCTATTATGGTGAGGATTAACGATTCTGCAAATCCAAATGATACAACTGTTGCTTTTGACTTGGGTAATGCAAGGGAGATTGTTGTGAAGGATATGGAAAATGGTAGAGATATGCCTTTATTGGGACAACCAATTTTCTCTGATAAGATTACTGATATTGGAGCATCTAATGCTGATGAGATGATTACTGAACCAGTTCCACAGGATATAAATAATGATTTTGATATTGTCATTGCTGTAGCAAGGGATAGTGGAATTCAAAAGGGGATACTGTGAGAGTTGATGTTGGGAATCTTGATAATTCTTAGGTGGTTTTTGATTGTGGAATTCAAGGTGGTGATGGCCCTGAAATTGCTGCTGTCAGATTGGAGGATCCTATTCTGCCAGTTCATGAGGGTGCTAATTTGGAGATTTTTTCCTCTTCCTCCCCTACTTTTTTGCCTTCTGCTAGTGAGGTGGTTAATGTTGGAGACATTGGAGGAAATAAGGTTATTATTGAGGAAAATTTAGCTCCTATTAGTAATGATATGAATGATCCCAACCTTGTGGAAGTCCTTGGAGAGTGTAGAACTCTTTATGCTCAATCCTTGGGCTCTTTCTTTTTAGTGGAACATGAATTTACAGTCAAGAAAGGGAGTCAGAATTCTTTAGATGATCAGAATAGTTTGGTTAGAGTGAGAGAACCTCCAGATAAAGGTTACTACTCTGATCAGGCCAGCTCTAGAACTCAGAAGATCGTAAATGTTGATTATGATAATTCTGGAAGTTCTTTTGAAGAAAATGAGGATGGTAATGGATTTAGTTCTAGTGACGTTCCTTCTCCTATGAACTTATGATTAATCTTCTATCATGGAATATGAGAGGGGCAGGTAAAGATGCCAAGAGGAGGAGATTAAAGAAACTTATTAAATTGCATGATGTTTGTCTTGTTGCAATTCAAGAGCCTAAATTGTTGGTGTCCAAATTGGTTCCTTTTGCTAGGAGTATTGGTCTAGAGCATTTATGTTCTAACGCTTTAGCAGAAAGGAATATTTGGGTATTATGGGATGAGAGAATCAAGTTGAAGGTAATGTTTGAGCATGCCCAAGTATTGACTGTGGAAATAACTTTTATGAGTTCACTTGTTTTTTGGGTCTCTATTGTATATGCTAGTTGTGATCTTTTATTGAGAAGGCTTTTATGGGGGCATCTGTTGGATATTGTTGTTCCTCCTGATGTCCCTTGGTTGGTTGTTGGTGATTTCAATACAATTTTGTCCTCTGCTGAAAGATTGGGAGGAGCTTCTCCTTCTCTTTTATCTATGGAGGAATTTGGTGACTTTTTGGATCATAGGGGCCTTTTGGATGCTGGTTTTACTGGGAATAAATTTACCTGGTGTGATAACAGAAATGTGGGTTTTAGAATGAAACAGAGGCTGGATAGAGCTCTGATTAATGCTTTCTGGAATCTGAGCTTTGACAGTCTGGAAGTGGCTCATTTAGCAAGAGGTAATTCTGATCATAGTCCTTTATTGTTGAAAATTATGGATACTTCTGTCCAGAAGAGAATTTCCTATTTTAGATTTCAAGATATGTGGTGTGACCATGAGGATTTTCTGGCTCTGATAGCTTCTAACTGGAGTGGCTATTACTCAGATAACCCAATGTCAAATTTGTTTATTAAGATGAAATATTTGAAGGCTCATATGAAAATCTGGAATAAAGATGTGTTTGGTAATCTCTTTGAGTAATTGAAAATCTTTGAACAAAAAGTCAGTCTGCTTGAGCAGGAGTTAGATCAAACCTTTTCTGATTCAAAAATTATTGAATTAGATGATGCTAAAGGTGAGATGGATGATTGGTTAAGGAGAGAGGAAATTTATTGGAAGCAAAAGTCAAATGTAAGATGGGCTATTCAGGGGAGAGGAATACCAGATTTTATCACTCTATTGCTAAAAGTAGAGTTGTCAGAAATAAGATTTTTAGAATTAAAAATAAAGATGGAGTCTGGGTATATGGAGACAAGCAAGTGGCTATGGTTGCTGAGGAGTTTTATGCTGATCTTTATAAGTCTGAGAGGCATATCATCAATGATAATATTCTTGATGTTATTCCTAAGATTGTTAGTCAGGAGGATAATGAGAAACTGACTGCTGAAGCTACTTTGGAGGAATTGAAAGATGTTGTTTTTTCAATGGCAACAGAGAGTGCTCCAGGACCGGATGGTATGTCTGGTAAGTTTTTTCAGTTTGCCTGGGATGTTATTAAAGTAGATGTGGGAAAAGCTATTAATTTTCTACTCAAAGGAGGTATAATGCCCAAATCTGTGAATTCTACATTGCTAGTATTGATTCCTAAGAAAGAGGATCCCATTTCATTTTCTGATTTTAGGCCCATAAGTTTATGTTATTTCTTATATAAGATCTTTACAAAGCTTCTGAACACAAGATTGTCCTCATTACTTCTTGCTTTAATTTCTGAAGAGCAACATGGTTTTGTCAAAGGGAGAGGGATTGGGGATTGTGTGGCATTGGGACAACTGCTTGTGGGTGAATTAGATAGAAAGGTTGAAGGTGGGAATATGGTTATGAAATTGGATATGATGAAAGCATATGATAGAATGGAATGGGATTTTTTGGGGAAGGTTCTGGCTGGATTTGGTTTTTCTGACTTGTTCAATCAAATTGTTTTGAACTGTTTGAAGAGCCAATTCTTTACTATATGTTTAAATGGCCAAGATATGGTTATTTTGCTAATTCAAGGGGGCTAAGACAGGGAGATCCTCTATCTCCCACATTGTTTATCTAGGCTGAGGAAGTGCTAAGTAGAGGACTGAGAAACATTTATGCTCAGAATTTGGTAAAACACTTTCATATTGGAAGAGGAACAATAATTGTTAGCCATTTGTTGTTTGCTGATGATACTCTGATTTTTTTGAGGGGAAACAAAAGTTCTGTGCTGGATTTCATTTCTATGTATGAATCAAGCTCTGGTCAGAAGGTTAATAAACTGAAAAGTGCTATGTATTGCTCTAAGCAGATATCTTTGGCTAGAAGGAATAGGTTGGCTTCTGTGGTGGGTATTCCATTTAAGGATTGTCCTTTTACTTATTTTGGCTGTTCTATTATCAGAGGAAGGGTCAAGAAATGTTATTTTGAGGAGGTAATTAAAAGCTTTAGGAAAAGAATTGAGGGGTGGTATGCCAGATTGCTTTTAGGTATGGGGAGGATTGTACTGGTACAATCAGTACTCAGTTCTATTCCTATCCACATTTTGGCTTGCCTGAATATCCCAAAAGGAATTTTAAACATGTTGAATTCTTTAATTGCTAATTTCATTTGGTCTAGTCAGATTGATTCCAAAAAATGGCATTGGGTCTCTTTGAATGATATTTCTAAGCTCAGAACTGAAGGTGGGCTAGGAATTAGAAGATTTGAGGAAGTTCAAGCAACATTTAGAATAAAACAGGTATGGGGGATTCTAAATGGTTCTTCTTTGTGGGCTAAAGTGTTTAAAGAAAAATTTTGTCAAGGGAGGCATATTCTAAGATGTGGACTTACTGGGGCTGGTCAGTCTTTTAAAATGTTGAGACCATGGTTTAATTTCACAGTTCAGCACTCATTGAAAATTGTTGGTAATGGAAATAACAATGATTTTTGGTGTGATTCATGGTTGGATAAGGGTCCCCTGATTCTTAGAATTGTGAATCCCCCATTAATCTTTCCCAAGATTTATAATTTATGGACTGGTTCTGAATGGCAGCTTAATGATGTAGCTGAATGGCTTAATCCTCAGCTCTGTTCTGAGATTGAGAATGTGGTCTTTGTAAGGACTGAGAACTCTGATAGACTTATATGGAGGAATACTACTTCAGGTTCTTTTACTGTTAAATCTGCATGGGACCAGATAAGGAAAAAGGGGAGTCAATTTGTTATAGCTAAAGGAATTTGGAATCAAAAAACTTTTCCTAGTGCTCAACTATATGCATGGAAAATTTTTAGAAAGGCTTTAACTACTAATGATAGAGTTCAAAGTGTGGGGGTTGCAATGGTTAGTAAATGTATATTGTGTGGATTGGAGGGTGAAAGCACTGCTCATATTTTCATTGACTGTTCTATGGCTCAAGCTGTCTGGAGGAAAACTGCTGTGATGATGGAGTTTGATGTTCTGATTGGAGAATCTCCTTTATGCAGATTTCTAAGACTGCTGAGAAGGTTTAAAACTCCTTCTCTTAGTCATAATTTAATAAGGGGAGTTCCTATGTTAATATTTTGGGCTCTGTGGAAGGAGAGATGCAGGAGGAAATTTGAGGGAATGTTTTTAAATGCCCATGCAATTTTCTTACAAGTTTTGAGTGCTTTGAAATGGCAGGCTTTCCTTATAAAACCTGGGTCTGCTGATGATATTAAGGGCAAGGAGTTATTGAGAGAGCTAAAAATTCAAGATCCTTTTTCCCTAATTACTAAGGTTAAATGGATCAAATGGAATTTTCCTCCTCCAAATATATTGAAGCTTAATTTTGATGGTGCCTCTAAAGGAAAAACTGGATTGTCAGGTGGTGGGGTAGTGGTGAGAAATGATGAAGGGGAAGTTATCTTAGCTGCTGCCTGCTATTATGGGATGGGATCAAATATGGTTGCCGAATGCAAGGCTCTGCTGGATGGATTATTACTGATTCTGCAGCATGGATTGTCATCATCTCAGATTGTGGTGGAATCAGATTCTCAGACATTAGTTCAAATGGTGATGGGTTTAGCTGCTATTCCATGGAGGTTGCAAAATCAGTTAGAGAGGATTAAAATGTTGTTTGGAATGTTGAATCTGCACATTAAACACATTTATAGGGAAACTAATGGGCTTGCTGATTTTTTAGCTTTCTTTGCTGTTCAAAATAAAATAAGCACTGTTTTTTCTGATGGTACTCTTCTACCACTTGCTGGGAAGGTTCTTCTGCGGCATGATCAGAGTGGTCTGCCTACTGCCAAATTAATGAAAATGATTTGTGGCCAAAGGCAGGGCATTGGTTAATATTTCTTCTTATGGTACTAGGATCAGCTGATATTCCCTAACAGTTTTGGGTGACTGGTTTGTGGTTTGTAGTTACTTTGGTTTTATTCCATTGAAGGATTAGAGCCATCTGAAGACTATTCTGGTTTTTCTTGTTGCCCAGATGCTTTAAGCCTGTTCTGCTGATATGGCAGTCAGATCCTTGAAGTTCCAAGTTTTTTTGCTGGGCTCTATGGACTGTTTTTTGGATTTCTTTCCCTGGGCTGCATATTGTTGCTGTTTCCTGATTCTTCTGTGGTTTAGCTGGCTGATTAAGGCATTTGCTCAAGAAATGTTTAAGCTGGATGGAAAGAAGGCAGTACAGAGGGATTATGCTTGAATTACTTTTTTACCCTTGTATTGCTTTTTTTTTTTTTTTTTTTTTTTTTTTTCTGTTATATGTTCAAAAGTCACTGTTTTTTAGCTTAAAAACAATGTCTTTTTTGCTTCTTGTAATTTTTGCATTTATTAAATAAAATTTTATTTAAAAAAAAAAGGGTTTGGGGTTTAGGGTTTCGATTTAGGGTTTAGGGTTTAGGGTTTAGGGTTTTAGGGTTTAGGGTTTAAGGTTTTCGGGTTTGGGGTTTGGGGTTTGGGGTTTAGGGTTTAGGGGGACCATCGCATTTCGGAGGTGGCTGAGGCTTTCTTTTCTAATCTGGATAATTCAAAACCTCATGATTTACCTGATCAGATTTTTGACGTCCTTCCCAGATTGGTGTCTGCTATTGATAATGAACAGCTGACTGGTGAGGCTTCTTTGTAGGAGTTAAAGGATGTGGTCTTTTCGATGGAACCCGAAAGTGCCCTAGGTCCAGATGGTCTGTCTGGAAAGTTTTTCCAATTTTCTTGGGATATCATTAGTATTGATGTTGGGAAAGCTGTCAATTTCTTGCTGAAAGGTGGGCTCATGCCTAAGTCTGTGAATTCCACGCTGCTCATGCTTATTCCAAAAAAGGATGACCCACATTCCTTCTCTGACTTTAGACCTATTAGCCTCTGTAACTTTTTATATAAAATCTTCACAAAACTTTTGAACACTAGAATCTCTTCTTTGCTTCCTTTGCTGGTGTCTGAGGAGCAGCATGGCTTTGTGCCGGGAAGGGGAATTGGTGATTGTGTGGCTTTGAGCCAGTTATTGGTTGGGGAGCTTGACAAGAAAGTGGAGGGAGGTAATTTGGTTCTAAAGCTGGATATGATGAAAGCCTATGATAGGCTTGAATGGGACTTTCTTCTTAAAGCGTTGGGTGCCTTTGGGTTTTCAGATCTTTTCACCCATATCATCTCGAATTGCTTGAATTCCCAATCCTTCTCTATTTGCTTAAATGGACAGAGGCATGGTTATTTTTCTAATTCTAGGGTTTGAGACAAGGTGATCCTCTCTCTCCTACTCTCTTCATCCTTGCAGAGGAGGTTCTGAGTAGAGGCTTGAGAAGCATCTTTTAGCAGAGGCTTGTTTCACACTTTCACATGGGAAGGGGCACTTCAGTGGTGAGCCACTTGCTCTTTGCTGATGATACTTTGGTTTTTCTTAGAGGTACTAAGCGTTCTGCTATGAATTTGATGAAGTTCATTGCGCTCTATAAGGGGTGCTCAGGGCAGAGGGTTAACAAACTGAAGAGTGCAATGTATTGTTCCAAATGGATTCCAGCTACTAGAAGAAATAAGTTGTCTGCTGTGCTTGGAATCTCCATCAAACAGTGTCCCTTTTCTTACCTAGGATGTCTTATTATTAGAGGCAGGATGAGGATGTCCTACTTTGAAGAGGTGGTGAAGGTGTTCAGGGATAGAATATAGGGTTGGTCTGCAAAGATGTTATCTGGTATAGGCAGAGTTGTGATGATACAATTTGTGCTTAATTCCATCCCCATCCACATGCTAGCTTGTATGAATATCCCTAAATGAATTTTAAGGAAACTTAATTTTGTGTGGTCTAACAAGGTGGATGCAAGGAGGAGACATTGGGTTTCCTTAGATAATATTTTCAAGCCAAAGAACGAAGGTGGCTTGGGAATAAGAAGCTTCAGTGAAATCCAAGCTGCTTTCAGAGTTAAGCAGGTTTGGGGCATCCTGAATGGCCAATCTCTATGGGCTAAAGTATTCAAGGAGAAATAATTCAAAGGTAAACACATGCTGAGGTGTTTCAACTCTAGTGCTGGGCTGAGTTTTAAGAGTCTCAAACCTTGGTTTGAACTGGTGGCATTTAATTCTTCAATGATTTTGGGGAATGGTCATACGACTGACTTTTGGTGTGATTCCTAGATGGATGCTGACCCTTTGATTTCTAGAGTTGAGGTGACTCCTTTGGTTTTTCCGAGGGTTAAGGAGCTATGGAATGAAGATGGATGGAACCTTGATGTTGTTTCTGAATGGCTGCCTCCCCAAGTTCATAATGACATTCTCTATACCGTTGTGATCTGGTTTGATGCTCATGATAAGAGAATTTGGAGACATGATAGCTCTGGTGATTTCTCTGTTAAGACTACTTGGCATCAACTTAGAAACAAGGGGGTGGAAAATGCTTTGGCTAAGAGTATTTGGGCTCAAAAGACCTTTCCTAGTGCACAGTTTTGTGCTTGGAAAGTCTACAAAAATGCCTTGACCTCTGATGATACGATAAGGAGTGTGGGAGTTTCTCTGAGTAGTAAATGCAATTTGTGTGGGCTGGGGGAGGAGACTCTTCAGCACTTATTTATCAATTGTTCCTTTGCCCATGCTGTATGGTGGAGAACCTCTTTAGTGATGGGATTTGTTCTCATTTCCGGGGAATCTCCCATGTGCAGGTTCTTGAGAATTGTTAGGAGTTTCAAAAACCATTCCCTAAGCCACCAGCTGATTAGAGGAGCCCTTTTGCTTATTTTCTGTGCCATTTGGAAAGAGAGATGCAAGAGAAGATTTGAGGGAGCTTGCTTAAATCCCTTTACAATCTTTATGCAAATTTCAAGTGCTTTGAGATGGCAGTCCTTCCTAGTGAAACCATCTAGGGGGGATGATCATAGAGGCAAGAACCTTTTGAAGGATCTAAATATTGTCCCTCAATTCCATTGTATTGCCAAGGTTAATTGGGTGAAGTGGGAGCCCTCGGCTGGTAATGATTTGAAGCTGAATGTTGATGGGGCTGCTAAGGGCAGTTCTGGGCTATCTGGGGGGGAATGGTGGTTAGGAACTCTCATGGTAATATTGTTAGAGCCTCTGCTATTTTTTTATGGAACTGGCTCCAATATGCAAGCTGAATGCAAGGCTTTATTGGATGGCCTGAATTTAGTTGTGACAAATGCATTGGATAGGCATCACCTCTGGATTGAATCTGACTCCCAGAGTCTTGTTAATATGATTTTGGGGCAAGCTAAAGTCCCATGGAAGCTTAAAAGTATTTTTGGTCAAATTTGGGGTTTGCTTGGAGGGCTGAGTTTTCAGGTAAAACATGTATATAGGGAAACAAATAAAGTTGCTGACTTCCTGGCTACTATGGCTGTGCAAGCTGGAGGGAGGATTGACTTTGCTGCTGGTGAGGAATTGCCATTACAAGGCAAATTGCTTTTACATCAAGATCATTATGGTTTACCTTACGTAAGGTTGAAGAGGATGGTGGTGTGTGTCCAGAGGTAAGGGATTGGTTGATTGCTTTGGTAGTCCCAGTCAGGGGTGCACTTGCTTTTGGTTTTAGGTTGGTTCTCTCTCTTGCCCATTGGTGCTGTTCAGCTGGTTCCAGCTGATCTTCCTGTTGGTTTTAATGCTCTCCAGTCGGCTGCTCAACTGGCTTCCAGCTACCTGTTGGTTTTTCCTTTGGATCCTTGTCTTGAAGGATTAAAGCCATCTTTGCTTCCTTTGTTACTGCTTTGCTGCATATGTTCTCTCTGCCACCTGCTGCTGGTTTTGCTATTCTCTTGTTGAGGCTTTGGTTTTTCTGTTCCCTGTTGCTGCTTTCTGTTGGTGTTTGTTTTAGCTGGTTGTTTCTGCTATGGGCAACTCTCCTTTTGGGCATCTTTTTCTGCTTTTTTGCATGAGGTTGCTGCTGCCTGTGCCTGTTGGTTTCTGCTTCAGCTGGGCGCCCCTGGTTTTCCTGGATCATTTTGCTGCTGCTTTCTGCCTATTGCCTTAACTTCACCTTTCTTTCAGCTAGATGACTGTTGGGTCCCTTCTCCTGCTCCTCTTTGCTGTTGCCCCTAGGACTCCTTCCCTTATGGTTTTCAGCTGGTGGTGCTGTGGCTTTTGGTTCAAATGTCCCCCCAACGGTTTTCTTATGGCCTTTTTGCTGTTGTTCCATTTCTATGATGCTGGCCTTTGTTGCTCTCTTCCAGTTCATGCCTTCAGCTGGTTTTAATGTTTCTTCTTGGTGGTTCAGTTGGCTTTGAGTAGCTTTTTGCCTCCCAGCTGGTTCCTCTTCTCAACTTGGTTTTTGTTTATGTCTTTTCTGGCTTGCTTATAGGACTGTAGCCATTTTTGGCTCCTTGTTTTTTTTGTTTTTTCTTTGTTTCTTTGCTTCTTGTTATCATGTCCTTTCATTTATGGCATTTCTCTTTTTCAAAAAAAAAAAGGGTTTAGGGTTTAGGAGAGAGGAGGGTTTAGGGTTTTTAGTGAGAGAAGCTTTCACCTCTCTCTACCTTTACTCTTTGCTTTGCTTCATTTTTGGCAGATCTGTGCATTTACTATGGTTTCAACCCAACCTTTGTCCCATATTCCACCAAAGCCTCCTGATCTTCCGCATATTCCCACCACAACCCCGAGGAATTCTTTGATTCTCCCACCCAAACCACCTGGCATTACCCAGAATTTCGCATCACTGTTCAAGAAATCGGCGGTTAACGGCAATCTCCATCATCCACCTGCTGCATCAACAAATCTGCTCCCGTTCTTTGATCCTTTGAGTTTCAACATCACCAACCCTATGCCTCTCTTCCCTCAAGCTCATCAACTTCACCCGACTCCTCAGCCACCACCAGCATCACTCTCTCCTACGAGCGCGAACCCCCAAGTGATAAACCACAACCCATCACCTGAGTTAGGGATCCACACTCATAATACCCCCACAAATATTCAGATTGCTCATGGGGTCAATGCGAATCCCCATTCATTACTGAACCTCCATATCCAGTCGTCTTCTAATGAACCTTCATCTGTACGTCTTATGCCCCATTCACCCTTTCCTTCGGCTGGACAAGGAAATCACCCTCCAATTTCTATATTGAACGTCCAGTACAAGCAAGGAGCCCAGAGTTCCCCAACCAGCATAAATTTTGGTTCCTTTATATCTGCAAATGCCACAAAGCCTTCTAAAAGAGTTGTGTTGAACAATGGAGAACCAGGAATGTACTGGTCACCAGACGAAACTCAGGAACTTTCTAAAGATTTTTCTCTATCCCTGATAGGCAAATGCGCCTATGGCAAGCCTTCACTGGGAGTGGTGAAAGAATTTATATAGTCCAGGTGGTTATTAAAAGGGGATTTTACGGTAGGAGTCTTGGATCCCAGGCATATACTCATTCGTTTTGCTATCTACGAAGATTATGTCAAAGTTTGGCTCAAGGACACCACCTACATTGAAGGCTTTCTATTTAGATTCTTCAAATGGTTCCCAGAATTTTACCCTGGAATAGAACCCCCATTGGTCCCTGTTTGGATATCTTTTCCTGGTTTACCAATCCATCTATTTAACAGAGAGAGCTTAAGAGATATATTAAGCCCTATTGGTAGAATTTTGGTTATCGACAATGCCACTTTGAATCTCTCTAGACATGGGGTTGCTAGGGCCTGTGTGGAGATGAATCTCTTGGTGAGCAATCCCAAACGATTCTGGCTTGATATGGGCGATATGAGTGCTAGATGGCAGAAGATAGTATATGAGAAGGAATTCAAATACTACCTTGCTTGCCTCAAGCAGGGTCATGATGACTCCTTATGCCGAAAAAAGAAGAAGGAAGAGGGGATGGTTACGTCTGAACAGGAAAGGGAAAACAATTGTTGTTGATGTACTGAAGGAAAAACCTAAACAGGAATACAGACAAAAAATAGGGATTCAAGGACCAGTTACTGTAAATAGCTTTGATATATGGCAGGATACCACAGATCCTGTAGGGCTGAATCAAAGGAAGGAAATGGACCACCACACCCAGCGGGAACAGGAAGTGGCAAAAGCCCCTGCCAACTTAAATAATCAAAATGCTACTGACAGAAAAGAAAATCAGGAGACCTACTGCTCTACATCAGCTCTTGATAAAGGTAAACAACAAGCTTCAGAGGGACAAAATGAAGTGGCAGAGAACCTTAAAGATCCTCTTGGAACAGAATCTATACAAGATGCTACAGACCCACATAAAGATAAGGAAGATTTGGAATGTGCCTCAGTGACTCAGGTACCCCTGCACTCCCCTAGCATTGAGGGGAATAGCTTGGAGGAATGCCTTCCTCCCTCTCCTGTTGCTATTGTAAGTGCAGTTGATCATAATTTTGTAGAGGACTATGCTGAACTTGAGAATTGTGGGGAGGTTTTATCCTCTAGAGAAAATACACATGACTTGGTAGGGAATGAGGCTCCTAAAGAACAACTTGGTGAGTGTCATGCCCTTTATTGGCCTTCTCTAAATTCTTCTTTCTTACTGGAACATGATTATGGTACAAGGGGAGAATGTGGAGGCATTATTGATGATCAGATGGGCTTGATTTGTGTGAGGACTCAATTAAGAGCCAGAAACGTACACTAGATGATTCTGCAGCCATTGACAGCTCTCTCAATATAGATGATGAATCCACTGGAGTAAATTCCAGTGGGGGGGGGTACCATTCTTCATCCTCATGATAAATCTCTTTTCATGGAATATGAGGGGAGCAGAAAAGGCTGCCAAAAGGAGGAGACTAAAGAAGCTTATTAGAATCCATGATATTTGCTTTGTGGCTATACAAGAACCTAAGTTGTTGGTTACTAAGCTCAATCTCTTTGCTAGCAGTATAGGGTTGAACCACTTTCTTTTCAACCCTCTAGCAGAGAGGAACATTTGGCTACTGTGGGATGATAGAATAAATGTAAGGGTTATGTTTACTCATGAGTAGGTTTTAACTGTGGAGATTACCTTTATGCAGAAGACTATTTTCTGGATCTCTGTGGTGTATGCAAGCTGTAATCATATTGTCAGAAGAGCACTCTGGGCGAACTTACTGGAGCTCAAGATCCCTGCTAACACTTCATGGTTAGTGGTTGGGGACTACAATTCTATTGTAAGCTCTGATGAAAGACAAGGAGGTGCTTCTCCTTCAAGGGTATCTATGGAAGATTTTGGAAACTTTGTAGACCAGAGAGGCCTGATGGATGCTGGTTTTAGTGGGAACAAGTACACATGGTGTGACAATAGGCAGGGTCATGTCAGAATGATGCAAAGAATTGATAGAGCTTTGATCAATGTGAGCTGGAATATGAGGTTTGACAGCATGGAGGTTGTTCATTAGGCAAGAGGTGCTTCTGATCACAGTCCTTTATTTCTACAAATCAAAGACAGTCCAGATCAAAGAAGAGTCTCATACTTTCGATTCCAAGATATGTGGTGTGATCATGAAGGTTTCAGTGCTCTTATTGAGGAGAAATGGGGTGGTTTTTACTCTGATAATCCTATGGCTAATTTGTTTATCAAGTTGAAATATTTAAAAGCCCATATTGAGTTGTGGAATAAGGAAGTTTTTGGAGACCTTTTTGCAAACATCAAAAACCAAGAACAGAAAATCAAGAATACTGAGATGGAACTGGACCAGAATTATAGTGCTGCTAAATCCCTAGAGCTCGACAATTGTAAGAGAGATCTGGATAATTGGCTCAGGAGGGAAGAAATTTACTGGAAACAAAAATCAAATCTCAAATGGACTTTAGAAGGGGAAAGAAATACCAAGTTTTATCATGCCTTAGCTAAAAGCAAAAGGATGAGGAACAAATTTTCTAGAATTAAGAATAAGGAGGGCAATTGGGTGCAAGGTGACCAGATCATTGCTGAGGTTGCTGAGGAATTCTATTCTGATTTGTATAGATCTGAAAATCATTTTTTACAGGAGCATGTTTTTGATGTGATTCCCAACTTGGTGAGTCAGGAGGATAACTAGAGGTTGATTGCTGAGGCTTCGATGGAAGAAATAAAGGATGTTGTTTTCTCTATGGCTATTGAGAGTGCCCCTGGTCCTGACGGTCTCTCAGGTAAATTCTTCCAATTTGCTTGGGAAACCATCAAGAAAGATATATGGGTAGCTGTGAATTTTCTTTTGAAGGGAGGACATATGCCTAAATCTGTCAACTCTATTCTGTTAGTTCTAATCCCAAAGAATGATGCACCTGATTCCTTCTCTGATTTCAGATCCATTAGCTTGTGTAACTTCCTCTATAAAATCTTCACTAAGCTTCTCACTACAAGATTATCTTCTATGCTCCCTTCCCTAATCTCTGAGGAACAACATGGATTTGTGCAAGGGAGAGGGATTGGGGATTGTGTAGCACTGGGGCAATTATTGGTTGGTGACTTGGACAGGAAAGTGGAGGGGGTAACTTGGTAATGAATTGGACATGATGAAAGCCTATGATAGGCTTGAGTGGGATTTTTTGTTACAGGTGTTGTAGCACTTTGGTTTCTCCAACATGTTTACTCAGATTATCCTAAACTGGTTGAAGACTCAGCACTTCTCCATCTGTTTAAATGGGCAAAGATATGGGTACTTCTCTAACTCAAGAGGTCTTAGACAAGGAGACCCCCTTTCTCCTCCTTTATTCATTCTGGCACAGGAGGTTCTTAGCAGAGGGGTAAGGTGGATTTACCTTCAGAAACTTGTTTCCCATTATCATATTGGAAGAGGCACCACTGTGGTTAGTCACCTTCTTTTTGCTGATGACACTCTGCTCTTCATGAGGGGTACTAAAAAATCAGTGCAGAATACTTTGAAGTTCATTGATAAATATGAATCTTGTTCTGGTCAAAAAGTGAACAAATCTAAAAGTGCCATGTATTGTTCTAACAGAATCTCAGGGGCAAGGAGGCATGTTTTATCCTCTTTAATGGGGATCCCCATAAGAAGTTGCCCTTTCTCTTATTTGGGATGCCCCATTATCAGAGGAAGAGTTAAACTCAGCTACTTTGAGGAGATCCTAAAGACCTTTAGATGTAGAATTGAAGGCTGGTATGCCAAGATACTCTCTGGAATGGGAAGGATTACTCTTGTGCAATTTGTCTTAAGTGCCATCCCAATTCACATGCTTGCTTGTTTGAACATCCAAAAAGGAATCTTAAAGAAGCTGAATTCACTCATTGCTGGGCTTATCTGGTCTAGTAAGCTTGAAGCTAGAAGAAGACATTGGGTTTCCCTTGATAATATATCTAAGCCTAAATGTAAGGGAGGATTAGGTATTAGATGTTTTGGAGAAATTCAAGATGCATTTAGAGTTAAGCAGGTTTGGGGCATACTGAATGGACAGTCTCTATGGGCTAAGGTCTTTAAAGGAAAATTTCTGAAGGGGTGCCATTTGCTGAGATCCAGTAACAGGGGTGCAGGTATGACATTCAACATTTTGAAACCATGGTTTGAATTTGTGGTGACAAACTCTAAGGTCCTGCTTGGGAATGGGCAATGTACTGACTTCTGGTGTGATTCATGGATGGAGAATGGTCCCTTGCTGTACAGAATTGAAGGCCTACCCTCTTTCTTTCCCAAGGTGAATGAATTATGCTATGATGGTGACTGGCATTTTGAAAGGACTGAGGGGTGGCTCACACCTCAATTGCAAGAAACAATCAAAAATTCTGGTGCCTTAGTGACAAAGAAAGCTGATAAAAGAGTGTGGGAGCATTCTAATGCTGGGAATTTCACTACCAAGTCAGCATGGAGTCAGATTAGAAGGACCAGGGGATACAATGCCATTACACAAAAGATTTGGAATCAGGTAGTGCCTCCTAGTGCCCAGCTCTGTACCTGGAAAATTTATAACAAGGCTTTGACATCTGATGAGAGATTAAGATGTATTGGGGGTATATGTAGTTAGCAAATGTAGTCTATGTGAGATGGATGAGGAAACTGATAAGCACACTTTTGTTCACTGCCCCTTTGCCCATGCTGTTTGGAGGAAGTTTGCTGCTGTTATGGGTTTTGAGTTGATTCCTGGTGAACCTCCTATTTGCAGATTCATGAGATTATGTAGGTGTTTCAATAGCAATTCCCTTAGTCATGCTCTTGTAAGGGGTGTCCCCATGCTCATCTTCTGGGCATTATGGAAAGAGAGATGTAGGAGGAAATTTGAGGGGTTGAGGCTTAACAGTCATGCTGTCTTCCTACAGGTGACCCATGCAATGAAATGGCAGACCTTCAGGATTAAGCCTAAAATTGAGGATGACAGTTTTGGGAAAGCCATGCTATTGGACCTCTGAATTGTTCCAACTGCCTCTATCAACACTAAGGTGATATGGATGAAATGGGAACCACCAGCTAGGTCTATGATGAAATTAAATGTTGATGGTGCTTCCAAGGGCAATGGACTGTTTGGTGGAGGAATGATTTTGAGAAACTCCAAGGGGCAGATTGTCTTAGCTGCTGCAGCGTTTTATGGGACTGGATCCAATATGAGAGCAGAATGCCTGGCAATGCTGGATGGTTTAAAACTGATAATGCACTATGGCCTGCATGATTATTAGTTTACAATAGAGACTGACTCTCAAGCGCTTGTGAACATGATTTTGGGTATTGCTGCCATTCCATGGAGACTTTTAGGATATATGGACCAAATCTTTGGTATTCTGGGGAGATTACATTTTCAGATCAGACATGTGTATAGAGAGGCTAATAAAATTGCAAATTTTCTGGCTAACTATGCTGTGCTGTCTAGAAGTGACTCTGACTTTTCTGCTAATGGGGTGCTGCCTCTTGCGGGCAGACTTTTTCTTAAACAGGATCAAAACATGATCCCTACTACCAGACTAAAGAAGGTTTCTACTTGTGGGCAAAAACAAGGGATTGGTTAAGATGGATGTCTTTGACAGACACTTTTCCTAATGACTCATTGCAGGTTTGGGGTCTCAGGCTGCCTGGGTCTAGCTTGTGCCTCTGGGATCTTTATGGACCTGGGTTCCTTATGAGGTGTTTATGGTTTCCAGTTCAGTGTTCCTTTGGTTGGGCACCTTTTTTCAGTCATGCTCTATGCTGCTGAGGGTCGTCAGATTTATTTGCTCCCCTCATGCAGTTTGCCTGGTCTGTCTCTGTTCACTGCCCTTTCACCTGATCTGGGCTCCTTGGTTTTGAGATGTTGATTGGCCTTTATGGTTGTTCTTGCTTCTGGTTTGGTTCCTGCTCTGCTCTGCTTCCCTCGTCTCTTGCTGGTCTCCTTGATTGTGCTGGGACCTCTGTGAAGGGGTTTTGCTAGATCAGCCCAGCTTTGGCTTGGTGGGTTCTAATGCATTATCTTCAGGGCATTGCTCCTATAGATGGGTTTCAGCAACCTTTTGGAACCTTACCATTGGTTCCAGTCAACAGTACTACTGCTCTCCTTCAGCTGGGGCTCTGCTTTTCTGCAGCTGGTCTGTTTCCTAGCTGCTCCCTTAGCTGGTTTTCTGGTTATTCTCTGCCGCAGCTGCCTCTTGGTTTCCTACTTCTTTGTAGCTGCAAAAGGCCCATTTTCCTACTGATGCCCAGCAGACTCTCCAACTGCCTTGTATTGGTTCAGCTGGACCCTCAGCTAAGACTATGCCTG